TTGAAATGTGCAGTATTAATAAAGTCTGATTGATTGATTGATGATCAAACGTTAACCAAGAGTCTGAAATTGCAAAATGGAAAAGCATCAATAATTCTTCCGTTTTTAAAAAAAGGGTTAGAAGAAAAGAAAAGAACGTTAACATAACAATTATCTTGCTGCCGCAATGAATAACTGAAATAAGAGTTCAGAAAAGTTTCAAACAGCCAGAAGAATAACACACATGGTTTATCTGGAGAAAACCGGTGTTCAGAGGAGTTATTGAAACTTCCATGATGTGGTTCAACAGTGATTGTGTTTTAAAGTAAACAAGGTTCTATGATGTGGTTTTCGTGCCAAATGTAGTCGACAGACGACCAGAGCGGAGGTATGACCTCCATCAAGGAAATCACCGACAGGATCATGGATCTGGTCAGCAAGAGGAACGGCAACAGCAGCATCATCAGGGCCATCGCAGAGGTCCGCGTGCAGAGACTACAGAGCCGCAACCCCAATGGTGAGTTTCTACAAAATAAAATTAAGTCCCTGCTGAATATCATAGTGAAAATGAATTCTTGAATTTGGAAATTCTTATTTAACAATACTCTCCAACTCAACGTCCACTCACTACATTTTTCATATGTGTCTCAAGTTGTTGGCTGAAGTTCTCTCCTCTCTCCATCCACCAGACTTCATGGTGCCCCTGCTGGTCACCATGGCGATTGTCATCTGGGTGTTGGCAGTTGTTTCAATGTTGCAATGGTGCTTGAAAAGGTGGAGGAAGCAGAGCGTCCACACTGGGGTCTGCACCCAGGCCTCATCATCTTTGGCAGCCACAGTGGAGGAAAACAACACCCTCCACAACAGCGTCAGCGGTGCCCGCGACCAGCTCAACCACATCAGGAACCTCATTGAGAAAAACCCACCAAACCACCATCACCACCTCCACAAGGACAAGAACTCTGTCAATGCCAAGATCAGGAAGTCAGACACCGGGAGCCAATCAAACGATGAGGAGGTGGATAAGAGGCTGCAGAAGGCAAGGTTCCCCGGAGCGCCACCAGCATACTCACTGGTAGACTGGGACGAACGCCCCCTCAATCTTCCAACAGACAAACTCTGGATCCACAAACAGGACAACAGGCAGCTGCAGTCACAGAGCGTCAGCAGGGCGGAGTTTATCGTTTAACTAACCAATCTGAAACTTGAATAACTGACAGCTAACTCTTTGATCTTTTTCTTCTATAGAATTTCAGTGGATTGAAGACTTTGGATTTTCTATTTATGTGTTGACACTGGTCTGAACGCTCCACCGTGGTTGGCAGGATCTCTGACAGAACGCTTCATGTGCACCATCACTTTCATTCACATACGCATTTGAATGTGACCTGAGGAAATTATTTATTTTGTGCTTTCTTAAAGAGAAGTCTGTGTGTCAGCAGTCACTGCTGATATGAAGAATTATTGTAGAATGTTTTTGTATACATGTGTAAATAATTTCTTATTGATCAATATGTATTTTAGATTTAATTGTCAAGAGTCTACAGAGATTTCTTTTTAATTTATCTGTTCTGAGTTGGCAGCTTTGTAAACTGAAGACTTTGATATTTCTACTTTTGGAAACACCCAAAATGTTCTTGAAAGAATTGTTTATTTTTATCCGTTTGGATTTGGGCAATTTTGTGCCTCAGTTTAAATGTTTTATACATTTGTCTGTTTGATACTGTGTAGTTGGTATGTTTCCCAGGGTCATGTGTTGTATTTTATGTGACTGGAGGCGGGGGATATACATGCAGGGTCTTTGTATACAAACCAACATTGTGGTAGATGTTTTGCTCTGCTACTGAAAGAATTACAGAGTTTTTTGTAATAATTTGTATTGTTTGAACAGTGTAAAATAAAAGAACAGGCTTTAAGTCCTGTTTCCGTGTGTTTGCTATAACGGGATCAAACCTGCTTGACAGAATTACTGCAGAGAAGTCATGTGACATGCTGCCTGTTGATTGGAGAACACGGCTGTGAAACCATCTTTGATTTTAGTCGTCAGCTCCTTTACTTTTCACCAGTTTTATTTTGGACCTTGGAAAATTGGTCTTTGTGTTTGTTTCTGGCATCAATGTGTTTTTTTAATTTAAAATTATGATGAAACTAAATCTTGTTTATTCTAAAGAAAAATTCCGAATTACTGAACAATCCACAATCTGAAGGATTTAGAGCAACACATAGATTGATGTTGGGCAAAGGCTTTGGTTTGATGCAGACTCCTTAACTAACGTGGGAGTTCATCAAAGAGGCCACCAGTTGTTTGACAGCCATCCCCAGCCCTTCATCTCGCTGTCGTCTGCAGAAATGTGTTTATAAAAGGACCCAAGCTCAGCACAACCGTCCCTCACAGATATACCACGTTAAGTTTTCCCTGACTTGTAGACTTTGGTCATAACAGACCAGAAACAAATGTTCTAGTGTGGTCGACTCACAGCTTTTATAGGGACGAAGCAGCATTTAGCTTCTATGCTCACAGCTGTGAAACAGACAAGTACCTGAGGTCTGCTGAAACTGCAGGATGATTCGAATCAGGTGCGTCCTGCAGCTTTCTCAAAACATGACATCAATGGTTTATACATGGGAATTAGCATTAGCTGTGGTTAGCTGCAGCCTTGAGGATGATTGATGACAGAGACACACTAATGAGAATAAAACAACCTGCAGTGATTATTTAAGAGAATTAATTAAATACAGAAAAGTTCAGATTGGTTTTCATTGTGAAACTGATATTTTTTAATGAATAAATATAACGAATATTATCACTTATAACAGCTGCTCATCTCCAACATTATTTCCTTTCAACTGGCAAAAAAAACAAACATGAAACCATTGAAATATTCATGAAGAAAACAAGGATCTTTGATTGTATATGGTTACTCAGATAATGTTATTGGTTTGACTGATTGGTGTATTTACTGTCAATTACAACTCAATCACTAACCAATCATTGAATCTCAGAGGAAACAAAAAGTATTTTATTTATCTATGACCCATAATCGATCAATCAATAGTCCTCCTGATTGGCCATCAGTCCAGTTTCTCCTCGACAGCTTTGTGTCTAAGCGCCGCCTCGGAGCGAACCGCGCTCCTCATGGCTCGCTGCATGAGCCAGGTGGCCAAGTGGACAGCGAGGAAGGCACCTCCGGCCGCCCACAGCCAGTTCCTCCTGATCCAGCTCCGAGGCTTCATCCTGACAACAACACTGTGTTAACACTGGGTAATGTTAATATTGTGTAAAGCTGACCAAATACATTCTACTAATACTAGACTTGGAGTACTACGATACTGGAATCCATTTTACAAAATGAATCACTTCATGTCTGTTATTGTGTAAAGTGTTTTTAAACCACAAGGAAAAATATCTGAAAGATTAAATACATCTAGAGTTCAATAAGTAAACGAGTGAGTGTGTGTCTGTTTACCAAAGCTGTAAAAACTGAGCAGCGGTGACAGTTTCCTTGCAGCAGCCTCTAGTGGCCTCTTTGGGGAACTACAGCTCCAACTTCACTCAGCTGCAGTTTTTAAATGAACTTTATTTATACATTTTTTACCTTAAATCATCAGTGGGATAGTTGAGTGAATTTGAACATGGATAATTAATCAATCAAATTTTTTTGGTCTCATATTTACAAATTGCAGTTTGTCTCAGATCTTTTAAAAAAAGATCAGTTCAAAACACTGAGAAGTTATTAACAACCAGAGTTTACGTCCAATGTTCAGCAGGAAACTTTAAAACATGAAGAACTCTGAACAGTTTGGTGGATTAGTTACAGCAGCAGCTCTGCTGGGTCAGGAAGCAGAGGATCATGGGTAATATCCAGTGGGACGACACAGTCAGAACTCAACACGTTGAGACACTTTGTTTTTTTCTACACATGAGAACATTTCACAGAGACCAGCAGAGTTAACCATGCGGGGCTGCAGGGGGCGCTGTTGATCAGTAACAGTAACACAGTGTTGCTTTAAATTGATAACAGGTGAGAGTCATTTTGTACCTTAGTCTGTTTTACTTGGTCTTGGCAGCAGGGGGAGCTGATGAGTTTAAAACGTAGGTCACGATGCCGGGCTCGGGAATGAACTCGTCTCTGGCCGAACGCAGCGCTGAACTCGACTTCAGGTTGAACCAGCCCCAGTGGATGAGACCCAGGCTCGGGCCCATCACGATCAAAACTTTGTAGTTCTGCCAGAACTGTTTCAGGCCCATGACTGAGCGGCTCCAACCTGATGATGAAGATGAAGATCAGCTCTTCGTCCACACACAACACAGTAGATACAATTCTATCCTCAGGTTCCTTCATTCACTTATTTACTCAAACTTTTTTACTTAAAACTGATGAGTTCACTAGATTTCTCTAGATAACCTACTTTTAGATTTTCTTTAGAATACTTTATTATTATTATCTGCTTTCATGTTGGTTGCTTATATTTATAATTTATCTTTCGATGTTGAAATGAGGCTCAGCAGTGAAATTATTAAAACTGTTAATTCATCAGAACAATTCTGATAAATAATTAGTTTACTCTGTAACTACTTATAATTCTATATTCAAGAGTAACTAACCCTAACCCTGTCAGCAGTTTTCTACGTTAATCTTTGAACGGATACATCATGTTGTCAATGACTCTTAGCTAACATGCTAACAGAGCTGACATACTTAAAGAGCTAGCATGCTAACAGAACTAACGTGCTAGCAGAGCTAGCAGAGCTAACATACTAAATGAGCTAGCACACAAAGATAACTAATGTGCTAACAGAACTCACGTGCTACCGCACTGACAGAGCTAGCATGCTAACAGAGCTAGCAGGTACATGGTACTCAGCTGCTGTAACTGAGCCCCTAACCTTCACAGATTCACCGGCACCGACCATGGACGAAGCGCAGGACCGAGCCGCCGACACTGACGGGGAACAGACCGGGAACAGACCCGGAACAGACCGACACTGACCCGGAAGACGAGCTGGTCTAAAAGCAGGAGCTGAGAGAATGTAAACATGTGTCTTTTTAAAAATCATCATTTAATTCACTCACCATCTTTATAAAAGCTCCAAAGACTAATTCAATGTGATTTAAAAATAGGCTTTTCAGTCAGGCAGCAGTTTAGGGGCCTGCATTAGCCACGTGACGTCCACAAACAGGAAGCATTTAGTCTTCCAGGCTGCAAGTGAAACTTTTTATTT